GACTTAAAAAGTTCCGAACCGTTTAAGCCCAAATTTTGAAACAACATGCGTCGAGGTTCCAGCTCGGTTATTGCCTACTTTTGATGTTGATAGCTTATCTGCGTTTGCGAATATATCAGTTTTTTTCGCGTTTCCCCGTGCCTCTACAGGCAGCCAGCTAAGAAGAAAATGTCAAATGTCACAATCAAGAAGTCGAATTTGGGTCGTCATTCTCGCAATACAGAAGCAAAAAGACTGACGAAGAGCGGGCCTCCATCCGAGAGACTGAGCGGCTGAGAGCAATGCGGATGCACAACGCGGAATTAGCAGAAACGCGAGCAGCTAGGCTTGAGCGAACACGATTGAGAGCTAGGCAGTCGCGTTCTGCAGCAATCGATTTGATTCGGTCTTAAAATAATGAACGCAACAGGGCAAGGGTAGCAGAAGCGCGTTTACAGCTTGCAACAGATCAAAACCTGCAATACAATCGTCTTGCATTCCGATATAATCCAACTGTTGATTATAGCTCGAATCGCACTGTCGTTATTGGCCGGATGCATCAGGTCTGCACACACTGTCAGGCTCTCAAATTCAACAACGTACCAAAAGGATTGTGTTGCGCTTCAGGGAAAGTGAAATTGCCTCAACTTGAAGCACCACCAGTACCTCTGCACTCTGTATTTGCTGGATCTACTGCTGAATCGAAGCATTTCCTGTCGAACATTAGGAAATACAACTCTTGATTCAAAATGACGTCATTTGGTGCGGAAATTATAACTGCGCAATTCATGCCAACTTTTAAAATCAAAGGACAAATCTATCACAAAGCCGGTTCCCTGCTTCTGTTCTCATACAGCGAACACAAATTTCTTCAAATGTACTTCATTGGTGATAATGGAGCTGAAGTCGATGCACGTTATGGAATCAATACCTCGGTGAAGAAGCCCATTATTTCGCAGCTACAGAAGCTTTTTCAAGAACGGAACCATTTGGCGCGTTTGTTCAAAACAACAATCGATACGATGCCTTCGGATACCCACAAAATTGTCATTCATGCAGACAAAACGCCTGCTGACGACGAAACGATCGATTGGTGAACGTCGCAGAAACTCACCGTTGTTACGATGCTTTGCAGTATCCACTCATCTTCTGGGATGGTGCCGATGGATATCTCATCAATGTGAGGATGGTAGATCCAGTCAATGGTGTAGAAACGAAAAAAAAGTCCAGCGCGATGAACTTTTACTCATACCGATTAATGGTTCGGAGGACCGATGACAATCATATATTGAAATGTCGTCAATTGTTTCATCAGAACATTGTCGATATGTATGCAAAAATTGAAACAGAACGTTTGCTGTTCCTCCGAATGAATCAGACGAAACTTTGGTCCGAGGAATATTGGCGGGATACTGTGATGATTGACAGTAATACAACCAACTTTGGAAAGCTCACGATTTTGCCATCCTCATAAATAGGTGGTCCACGCCACATGCAGGAATATGCTCAAGATGCCATGGCATTGCTCGTTGCTACGGCCGTCCAGACTTATTTATCACGAGATAGCTTGGGACGAGATAGTGCAGCTGTTATTTCCTGGACAATCGTCTACGGATAGGCATGACATCACAGCCCGTGTTTTCAGACAAAAGCTCAAGTCAGTGATGGATTTCATTGTGAAACATGGACTTTTAAGATCTGTGCGGTGCTGGATGTATTCAATAGAATGGCAGAAGAGAGGATTGCCGCATGCGCATATACTGATCTGGCTGTATGATAAAATTACTCCAGACGAAATCGACGATGTGATATGCGCTGAGATTCCACGGGCCGAGGTTGATACGGATTTGCATGCAGTTGTCATCAAGAACATGATCCATGGCCCATGTGGTACCCTCAACCCAAGTTCACTATGCATGGTAGACGGGAAGTGTTCCAAGCGATATCCTCGTATATCTGTAAGTACGTGAATCAAGGCAGCGATATGGCAGTTTTTGGTGTTCAGGCAGAAAATGGTGACAGCAATGCAGTACGAGTTGTCGATAAAATGTCTCAATACCAGGCTGGAAGATACATAAGCAGCAACGAGGCTGCATGGCGAATTTTTTCGTTCCCCATTCATGAACGCTATCCAGCTGTAATTCACTTGGCAGTCCATTTGAAGAATGGTCAACGTGTCTATTTCACCGAACGAAATGTACAAGAAAGAGTCCTGAATCCGCTTGCGACAACTCTGACTGCCTTCTTCACCTTATGCCAGGAAGATGCTTTTGCTAGAACCTTGATGTATTCAGAAGTGCCCTCTTATTACACGTGGAACGCCACTAAAAAAGTGAAACTAAAAAAGACGCAAACGAGCAAGCCCGTCGAAGGACAACCTGGCATCTTCAAAGAGAAGAGAACAATCGGTAGACTCTATACAGTGCATCCTAATCAAGATGAATGTTTCTTCCTTCGCATGCTGTTGGTGAATGTGGCCGCTCCCAGGTCTTTCCAGTGTTTGAAAAATCTCAACGACATCACACATGCCACCTTCCGCAGTGCGTGCCACGCCCTAAATTTGTTGGAGAACGACCAACAGTGGGATATCTGCATTCATGATGCGTGCAACATCCGCACCAATTTCGCTCATTGTTTGCAATCATATTGACTGCTTGCTTCCCTTCATCTCCAACAGAGTTATGGGAAAGATATCGTTCGCATATGGCTGAGGATATTTTGCACAGAGTAAGTCTAGAAAATTCTGACATGACCATGGAATTGACAGAAGGAATTTACAATGAAACTTTGATAAGGATTAAAGATAAGTGCTTAGCTATTGCAAATAAAGTGCTAAGTCAATTGGGAATGCCAGCACCTGCCCGAACTACGACTGCAGCATTTTATGTGGATTTGCGCCTTGAGCAAAATTAAAACAGTCATGATCTCCAGTCATATGTCCAATCCAACATTACGAAATTAAACCATGAACAAAGAATGGTTTATGATCATGTCATGCAAAAGATAAATAGTGGGGCTGGGGCATTTTCTTTTTGGATGCTCCAGGAGGAATGGGGAAAACATTCCTTATTATATTGATCCTGGTTACGGTTCGAGCTAACAAGGACATAGCTTTAGCTCTTGCTTCATCTGGAATCGCTGCGACATTGTTACCTGGTGGGAGGACTGCTCATTCAGCGCTGAAGTTGCCATTGAACGTGCAAATCATCGAGACTCCTACGTGCAATATTTCCAGAGCATCAGGCATGGGAAAAGTATTGCAAAGATGTAAACTCAATGTTTGGGATGAATGCACGATGGCACATAAAAAATCGCTGGAGGCTTTCGATCGATCATTGTGGGATTTGCGTGGAGCTATCCAACCATTTGGGAATGCGTTAATATTGCTCGCAACGGATTTTAGACAAACGTTGCCTGTGATTTCCCGATCGACACTAGCTGACGAGATAAATGCTTGCCTGAAATATTCCTTATTGTGGAAACATATACGTACATTACAATTGAAGACGAATATGCTTGTCCAGTTACAGAACGATGACGTATTCTCACGACAGCTACTGGACATTGGGAACGGAAAGCTGCCAGTCAATGAGACGTCAAGAAAAATAGCATTCCCCGAGAATTTCTGTAATTTAGTTACATCGAAGGAGGGACTTATCCAAAAAGTGTTCCCCGATATCCGAATAAATTATAGGAATCACGATTGGCTCAGTGTACGAGCGATTCTCTCTGCCACGAACAAAGATGTCTACCAGCTCAATCATGTAATCCAATCCAGCATAGAAACTGACGAATATACAAATAAGTCGATAGAAACCGTTGTGGAGGCAGAGAAAGCAGTTAATTACCCTACGGAGTTTCTAAACTCACTTGATCTTCCTGGAATGCCACCACACATATTGAAATTAAAAATAGGTGTGCCGATTATCATTCTCCGGAATATGAATCAGCCGAAACTCTGCAACGCAATCAAGAAATTGATGAACAACGTTGTAGAAGCAACGATCATAAGTGGTCCTTTTAAAGGTGAAGATGTCCTCATTCCTAGGATCCCTATGTTCCCGACTGATACACCGTTCCAGTTCAAGAGATTGCAGTTTCCCATTCGTTTGGCGTTCGCAATGACCATAAATAAAGCTCGAGGTCAATCTCTGGAGTTGTGTGGTTTGGATTTGGATGAAGATTGTTTTTCACACGGACAATTATATGTTGCGTGTTCCCGTGTCGGAAAACTGAATAATCTTTATATTTACGCGGAGAATGGAGAAAAAAAAGAATATTGTATACTCACAAGTATTACAGAATTAAAATAATTTGAAAATTAATATTTTTTGTTTGACTTATTTCTTATGTGTGCATCCACAATATGCCACAGCAAAACGTGGCAGGGTACAGCTAGTATTTATATGAATATCAAAAACGATACGTTTTCCTGTAAGTTGTACCAAAAAACAAATCCGAAAAACACGACAAAAATGTAAAAATGTCAGTTTCCTGTGTAAAAATTTTTTTTTTTTTTATTTTAAATCGAAGATTTATTTTTTTTGCAAAAGCTAACAACATTTAACTATTGAAAAACGTCCCAAATTTTTTAATCGGTATAAAATTACGCGTTTAGGAATTTTTAAGAGCTCAAAAGTCCCGAAAAACGTTTTTTTCTAAATAAATCAAGATTTTGAAAGTGTTGCAAACATTTCAAACAAATATTGTTTTGTGCTATATTCGACCTGATAAACCATCCCTACGATGAGACTTTGAAAGTTCCTCCAATTTTTTTTTGGCGCACTGTGTTATGGAAAAAATAATTTTACAATTGTTATTAACAAAACCCAGTCACTGGGTCTCATATAAAAATATGCGCGCCAAAAATTAGAATTCCAAAATGAGTCTGACTTTAAATTTCAACGAAAATTCTAACGAGAAAACAAAAGTAAATATACGCTTATCATTTTTTTTTTTTGCTCCATTAAATTGTAACACCATCTGCAAGGGTATATAATGTGTAAACTTATAAAACTTACTTTGCTTTTGCATGAGTTAAAATGTGTGATTTTAAATTTGTGGATTGAGCAAATTTTTTGTTGCAGGCATCAAAGGGACAAACAAAAGGCCTGTCTCCAGTGTGAATTCGTACATGTGTTCTGAAATAAATATAAGGTAAATGGTAACTATCTAAAAGCCGGGACTGCAAATTAATATAATTATTTGTTTAACGCTAACTTCGGGAGGAACCAGTGTTGATATAGCTTTGCTGTATTTGACCCACAAAATTCGCAACCTTCTATATTTAATTAGAGAGAACGGCTATAGTCGAGTTTCCCGACTATATTATACCCGGTACTCTTCTCTTCCGCCCTAAAATAATTAACTTGTGCTCAACGAAATAGAAACTGAAGATGGGAAGCAGAAAGTCCAATCAAAAAAGTTGTCCGATTTGGCTACATTTTAATTTTTAGTTATATATTAGCACTAACCATACAGCATATAGACAACCCATTTCATGCAACGAAAATGGACGAACAAATTTCTTGCGACAGGCCCCAGAGAGGATTTCTTACGCTCTCTTACGCTCATCGTTCGTTCATCTTACGCTCTTATTCTCATAGAATGCTTTCTGTTTTTCAGTCGCTGAAAAGAGCACGACGAAGAAGGTTGGTCTGCGCTTGGATTGTTCTTTGTATGTATGAGTGTCACACATTCACATATACGGGGGCATGTGTGCGTGCGATTTCGTTTCGAAGCCAGCGCAGAAAATTTTGATTTTTCTAACTTTTCAGGCTGTCTACCCTAACAAAATTCGGGTATTCGTCATTTGGTGAAATGACGAAAGAAATAATATTATTTGTTATATTATATTTTTTAACATTTCAGCATAAATTTTAAATTTATTTAGGAATAAGATTAGGTGTTAGAAGTAAAATGTTTTGTATATATGTACATATTTTTACGAATAATTAAAAACAATACTGAGAACGGAGTAGGGTATATTTCAGTCGACATCACTTAAAACGCCGATTGCTTTAAAGTTTTTGTGGTTCTACATGAAAACTGTGCTTGCATACCCTACAGATGGATGACTTTTAGGGGAGTGAGCAGACGCAAATCTTTACTTTGACTTCTTTCAGTCTGTTTTTATGAATTTTTTTAAATTAAATTTTTGTTGAAGTAAAGTTATTTTCTTATTTTGTCCACTTTAACGTAATCAATGTAACCAATATTTTCCAAAAATTTTCTTTCCCACAATTTGTTGTTATCATTAATTAAAACAAGAAAGGAAAGCTAACTTTGGGCGGAACCGAAGTTGATATACCCTTTCAGTTAAAGCCGGATATATATCGCAAACATCGAATATAGTTGGCCGATTCTTATGAGAATATGATAATATAAACCAATTTATTATAATACAAAGTCTAAAAAAAGCCCCAAACTTCTATCTTCAAAAATACAAAAGTTGGTATTTTTACCAAATATCATTTTCCATCGTTCAGTTATATGGCAGCTAATAGATATAGTCGGCTGATCCTAATGAAATTTGGTAGGTCGGATTAACTGACCAAAAATATAATCTCTACCAAGTTCCAGCTTTCTATCTTCAAAAACACGAACGTTGGGTCATTTCCGATCGTTCAGTTATATGGCAGCTATAGGATATAGTCGGGCGATCCTTACGAAATTTAGCATGTCGTATTATTTTCCTAAAAATAGCTTTTATGTAAAATAACTCTCTAACTCTAAAAACACGGAAGTTATACTATTTCCGATCAATCAGTTATATGGCAGCTATAGGATATAGTCGGCCGATCCGGGCCGTTCCGTTTTATATACTGCGTGCAAAGGAAAGAAGGGTGTGTGCAAAGTTTCAAGACGATAGCTTTAAAACTGAGAGACTAGTTCGCGTAGAAACGGACAGACAGACGGACATGCATGATATACTTTATAGGGTCGGAGATGTTTCCTTCACTGCGTTGCACACTTTTGGACAAAATTATAATACCCTCTGCAAGGGTATAAAAAAGGGTGTGAAAAAGGAAGAAGAAATTTTTGCCTCCTAGATTTTGCCGGTACTCTGACGAGGAAAATGATGGCTATCAAATTAAATGGCGTTGCCGGATCAAAAAAAAGTAAACAGCTGATCTCGGGGTGTAAAAATAATTCATTTGATTTATTTTGACACCCAAAACATAGAGCGAAAATTGAAAGAATAAAATTTTCGGCCTGCGAGGATAAAGTCAAGCTATTTAGTGCGGTCAGGGCGAAGCCCATAATTTGGGATTTGACCCACAAGGGGTTTGTGATTGATTTTGATTTTGACCCATTTTTCTTTTTCTTAATCAGCTCCTTAGCGGCGAAATACATAAAGAAAACACCAAAATCCAATAGGTTTGAATTCATTTTTGCCTTTTTTGTTTATTTTTTACAAACAATAGCTGTTCAGTATTACCCTTTTCCTTAATTTTTTTTGGTCACACTAGCTCGGTAGCCAAATAAAGAGCGATTTCGCTAGCACACGTGTGACAGTGGATTTTCGCCGTCAGAGTACTAGGCTTAAGGATTGGAAAATTATAACTTAAAGATAGAATAAAACTGAACGATGGGAAATGACCTAATGAGCAAAATACGCCTATTTTGTAAATATTTTTGAATATGAATGAATTAATTATGAATTTTTCTATAATTCCTTGCATTAAATTCTCAATGACAAATTGTGCAATGTTTACCTAATTTCAAAAGTCTGAATGACTTTTGACTTTTTTTTAAAACATAAAAGTGGTACTTTACCTCAAATTAAAATCAAGTGAAAACCTTTTGCCACATCCCTCAAAGGTACATTGAAATGGCTTTTCTCCGGTGTGAACTAACTGATGCCTTTTTAATTTGGAACTTTCTACGAAAGCTTTTCCACATTCAGCACACACATGCACCCGAGGGCCATGGGTGTGTAAATGTTTTCGTACTGCCGAAGAATCTCTAAAATTTTTGTGACAACCTTTATGTGGGCAAGCTATTTTTTTATCATTCGGGTTGGATGGTAGAACTTGTGTTAGATTATAATTTAGATCAGCTGACGTTACTGGTGAACCTACAATAAGAAATGGTATTAAACGTTTCCCCCATACAAATTATTGTTACCTATATTTTCACTATATGGGGACGCTAAACTATTTGTTATTATCCTTTCCTGTATATCAAGTCCAAATGCCAAGGTTCTGATTGACGTACGCGCATCACATCCATTATCACTTTTTAAAATTATATGACTTTCCGACGAAATCGCTTCTTTATCTTCGCAAATATTTGCTGAATTGGTATTTATATTCGACTTCATATTATTGGTTTGACTTCCGCCTTTCTGTAGTTCTTTTTGTTGTTCTATTATTGGAAGCTCGTCAAATTTTGTCTGTAATTCTAATTTATGGGATTCAGGTAAAAAAACCTCTTTCTGCAAAAAGGATTGTACGTGAATACTGTCTTTTCGTTTTTGTACCATAGTTGCATCCAAATAAACATTATTTTCTTTCAATACTTCAGAATCGCAAATGTTTAGATCAGCCCCGGAATATTCATCGTCGGATGTTCCAGAGGCCCACATTGTTACACTAAACTCTCCCTCCATTGTTTTTATTTGAACCTGTTTTTGTTCCCAGCGTCTTGATTTTCCAGATAGAATTGAAATTGATGATTCAGAGGCTAATAAAGTTGAATTATCTTCAGGATTCATAGGTAACGGATTTACCTCAGCTTTACAATTTTTTTGTTTTTCCGAAGAGTTGGGTTTATAACCTTTAATATCCATTTCATATGCAACATTTTTTTTTCTAAAAAAGACGTCGCAATATTAGCACATATTTAAGCAAAGATGGTTCCAATCTACTTACGATTTGGATTTAAAACTTTCCGATGATTTTAGTAGTTGATTGGAATTCAAATTATAATTCATGTTAATACCAAAATTATTCTCAGATTGAATTAATAAATCCAAACTATTATTTCTGCAAGAACTTTCGATGGGGCTGGCAGTATTATCATCTGAAAAACGAACTATCTCATGAAATTATAAAAAAAGAGTAATATTATTTAAATAACTTTTTAATTAAAAACAAACAAAAATAGGAATGCTAATATGAAACGGATCTAAAGTTTATACACCCTTGCAGTTAAGAGCCAGATTAAATTTGTAGTGCATTTTATATTAATGGAAGATTTACCGTGCTAAGCAACCGTGCTAAGGTAAATGAGGGTTGGCATCACTGTTTTAGAGTACGAACTGTAAATAACGTTTTGGTCGAAAATGATAATCTTTACACAATGCTACTGTTTGGTTACTAGGTTTTATTTATTTTTTTTTTTTTTTTTTTTTTTTTTTTGTAATAGCAGGTTAATGTTTATTTAAAACTGTCCATTAGGGACAACTATTAAATGTTATCACGTAAACTTCACTTATAGATAATTTTAAATATTAATATGGTAGAAATAAATTAGAGTAGTAAGGGGAGGTCCAGCGGGTGTGTCCTTTTTAGTCTTCTGGGCTGCTCGCTGTTGTCCAGCAGGGAGCTGGCCAACCGGTTCGGGTGATTATGAAGCCTCTGCATGTAACGTGCGCTGCTTCTTTGTATCTCGCCCTTGACCCAAGGGAAATTGAGAACCTCATGGATGGTGCGATTGTCATGATAGACGTGGGCCCCAGTGGCGATTCTAAGGGCTCTATTTTCGAAAGCTTGCATAGTTTGGACATTCGTCTTGCTCGCAGTGCCCCAGAGCTGTATGCCGTACGTCCAGATTGGGCGTATTATTGCCTTGTAAATGAGGAGTTTAGTGGAAGTTCTCAGCTTCGATCTCCTACCCATAATCGTAAATATTACAAAAATTATGAAATAATGATCCTTACTGGCTTCAAAATAAGAACAAACATGTTTGTTTCCCCATATTCGGATTTGGTCCTTATGAGAATATGATAATATAACCCAATTTATTATAATACAAAAACCAAACCCAAAAATGTCCCAAACTTCTATCTTCAAAAACACAAAAGTTGGGTCATTTCCGATCGTTTAGTTATATGGCAGCTATAGGATATAGTGAAAATTATGAAATTTGGCATGTCGTAATGTTTTGCCAAAAATAGCTTTCCTGTAAAATTTGAACTCTCTAACTCTAAAAACACCAAAGTTATACCATTTCCGATCAATCAGTTATATGGCAGCTATAGGATATAGTCGGCCGATCCGGGCCGTTCCGACTTATATACTGCGTGCAAAGGAAAGAAGGATGTGTGCAAAGTTTCAAGACGATAGCTTCAAAATTGAGAGACTAGTTCGCGTAGAAACAGACAGACGGACAGACGGACACGCTCATATCAACTCAGGAGGTGATCCTGATCAAGAATATATATACTTTATAGGGTTGGAGATGTTTCCTTCACTGCGTTGCACACTTTTGGACAAAATTATAATACCCTCTGCAAGGGTATAAAAATTGGCATCACCTACATAGATTGAAAGGTTAATTTGCTTATATCTTAAAATGATGTTATTTAAGGGGTTATATACCTTCTTTGTCGAAGAAAAAGAGCAAAGTTTGGGTTTTTTTTCTAGGTATGTAGCAATTATTTAATTACAGGGATGTTTTAATTTTTTGATAGTACACTTTATTAAAAATGTTTGTGCAAAATTTGGTGAAAAAATATTAAATAGTTTTTAAGGGGTGGCTGTTTCCCTTAGAGGCTTTTTTTTAGAGCCTTGCGGTGACAGTTCCCCAGATCAAACAGGTTAACTTAAACCATAAAAGTAAAAAAATTTCATTAGTTTAGTGTATTTCCTTGTGCTTGAACGATCGATTTAAAATTTTTTTTTTTTTATTCTTACGGGAACGTTTTATGCTAAAAATGAACTTTTTGGTCTCTAGAAATTTCACTAAAAAATTCATTTCGGCGAAAAAAAAGTTTGTGCGTGAAAAGTCGATCGTTCAAGCACAGAAGAATTTCATTACGAACATTTAAAAAAAATTTGAAGTAAATCGGTTCAGTAGTATTCCGCCAATCCATGTCACCGCAAAGTCATTTTTCAAGAATCAAGAGATATTCGCGTTTAAAGTTTCAAGTTCAGTTCAAGGCCGCAACGAGGCGCGCGGTTAGGAGCGCTGTAACTTTTTTTCTACTGCTCCAATCCTGCTAAAAAAAATTTAGATTTTTGGAAAATAAAAAAGGTATATAACCCCTTAAGGGGGGACATCTGAGTAACAGGCCAAAAAAAAATCGGATTTTCTAGAATTTTTTTTGGCCAAATCAAAACAGCTAATCGAAAATTTGTAAATGAGGTTTTATTATATTATATTTAAAGTACACAATAAAATTTTTTTTTAATAAATCAAAAACAAAATGGCGGCCCTGCAGCCCTTATTCGTAGGGCCTATTTTTTTAAAGGGGGGGCCGAACACCTAACGTCCTTAATTTTTGATCTAGAACAAAAAATCAAGTTTGGTTAGTTTCTGTATCTCAACGGCTATCGACACACGTAGGATTTTTTCGATATATTGATTTTTTGCAAAATAGTGAGTGGTTGAACAAAATTTTCAATTTTCACGAACAAAAAACCTTACAAAATTGTTGATAAAAAAAAAAGTAAGCAAAATAAAAAAAATCCTACGTGTGTCGATAGACATAGGTATTCTGAGTATACTGTCAAAATTTTAGTTTAAATTTTAGGCAGATCGGTAGGTTAAGAGTTATGTGTCCGGCCAACTCAACAAAAACGGTTTCGAGAAAAACGCGTTTAAAGTTTTAAGTACTGTGGGATATACCTGTGAGGCATCGCCGCAGTATGGAAAATTTCGACACTTAGACACTTTTGCCGGACTCTATCTTTTGATATGTCATTTTTAAGACCCTAAAGAATTTTTTAAGCGAAAAAAAAAATTTCGATGTTTTCAAAATTCTACTCAGATGTCCCGCCTTAAGGAATATAAGGCAATCATGAACAACACCAAAGGGAGGGGCGATCCTTGTGGGATGCCATTGTGCAGAATTAAGATTAAGTTGTTTACTCATTCTTGGATTGAACGGTTGATCATGAATGCCTTCGGTAAGTTGAAGGTCTTTTGACCTACCCCCCACCGGGAAAGTTGATCCAGTACTGTATGCACCCCTATGCGATCACAAGACCTTTCGAAATTAATGGTAACATGATTTTTGGTGGAAAGGGCATCAGATGCATAATGATGGAGATGCAGAAGAGAATCAAGAGTGCTATGCTTTTGTTTAAAAGATGTTTGGTGGGGGCTGATAAGTTTATGATTTGAAATAAATTACATAAGTCTTTTGTCTAACATTTTTTCAAAAGTCTTGTTTAAACAGGGAAGGAGAGGAATAGGTCTTAAGGAAGATATTTCGTTGGTTGGTTTATTAGGTTTTAAAATTGGGATTATAATGGCGTGGGGGTAGGAGCCTTTACCAAGCACTTCATTGTACATTTCAAATAGGCGATACTTAGCTTCGGAGGGCAAATGTTTGAGCATTGGGCATGAAATCTGGTCTATACTGGGAGTTTTACCTTTAGCGTACTGAAGAGCATATTCAAGCTTGCAACGGGTAAAATTAGAGTCGAGATCAGTAGCAGATGCGGACAAATTGGTTAGTGTGTACTCCTGCGAGAGAATATCTTCTTTGCGGGTCTTGTATTGGTGAGAGAAGTTGTCGTCCACGGAATAGTCCAACCAAAAGTTCCCAAAAGCGTCACAAATGTCTGTAGTACTTAATTGTAGCACAATACATAATTGTTCTGAGGCTATATGATATGTTACCAATAAGTCGATTTAGATCGGACCAGGTCTAAGTAGAAGATATACGGCTAATATTTAATGTGAATCGTTCAAAGGATTCTCGTTTTGCTATTTTAGATTTGTATTTAAATAGGGCGTTGGTGAGTCGTTATAGCCTTGTCCGTCTGTCCGTATGAACACCAGTGAAAAAAGGTTTTTTTTTAAAAACTTTTGATGCCAAACTTTTGAGGCGACAAAATAAATTTCGATGAATAAATAGAAAATGTGAGTGTTATTAACCCAGTCCCGGTACTTTTTTGACACAGGATCACCTCCTGAGTTAATATGAGCATGTCCGTCGGTCCGTCTGTCTGTCTGTTTCTACGCGAACTAGTCTCTCAGTTTTAAAGCTATCGTCTTGAAACTTTGCACACACCCTTCTTTCCTTTGCACGCAGTATATAGAACGGAACGTCCCGGATCGACCGACTATATCCTATAGCTGCCATATAACTGATTGATAACCATATAACTGATAACTTTGGTGTTTTTAAAGTGAGAAAGTTCAAATTTTACATGAGAGCTACTTTTGGCAAAATAATACGACATACCAAATTTCATAAGGATCTGCTTACCATATCTTATAGCTGCCATATAACAGAGCGATCGAATATGACCCAACTTTCGTGTATTTGAAGATAGAAAGCTGAAACTTAATGAAGATTCTATTTTTGGTCAGTTGATCCAACCTACCAAATTTCATTAGGATCGGTCGACTATATCCTATAGCTGCCATATAACTGAACGATCGGAAATGGTATTTGGTAGAAAAATCAATTTTCGTATTTTTAAAGATAGAAGCTTAAAACTTTTTTTTAGATTTTTTATTTTAATTAATTGGTTTTATTATGATGTAATCAACTATACTAACTAAGGTTTGGCCAACTATATCCGATGTTTGCGATATATATCTGGTTTAAACTGCAAGGGTACATCAACTTCGGCTCCGCCCAAAGTTATCTTTCCTTTCTTGTTTTTTATTTAAAAACATCGATGTTTAGTTTAAAAACATCGAAAACATCGATGGTCCCAAACATCGATTGTTTTCCAGCTCTAAGAGACTGAGAAACAGAAAGCATTTAATGAGAATATGAGCGTAAGATCAACGAACGATGAGCGTAAGAATGAGAGTAAGAACTCGTTTTGGGGCCTGTCGCAAGAAATTTTTTCTTCCATTTTCGTTGTTTGAAATGGGTTGTCTATATGCTGTATGGTTAGTGCCGATATAAAATATAAGATATACTTTTTATACTTTATACACTGCCGCTCAACTGAATAGGTACACATAAATCCTCTTGAAATTCATGATTTGTTCATCACATATTGATCGCAGAGGGTATAATAATTTTGTCCAAAAGTGTGCAACGCAGTAAAGGAGACATCTCGGACCCTATAAAGTATATATATTCTTTATCACGATCACTTCCTGAGTTGATATAAGCATGTCCGTCTGTCTCTTTCTTAGCAAACTAGTCTCTCAGTTTTAAAGCTATCGACTTGAATCTTTGCACCCACCATTCTTTCCTTTGCACGCAGTATATAAGTCGGAGCGACTGGTATCGGCCGACTTTATCCTATTGGTGCCATATAACTGAACGATCGGAAACGACCCAACTTTCGTGATTTTGAAGAAAGAAAGCTGAAACTTAGAACAGATTAAATTTTTGGTCTGTTAACCCAAACTACTCAATTTTATAAGGATCGGCCGACTATATCCTATAGCTGCCATATAACTGAACGATCGGAAATGACCCAACTTTCGTGTTTTTGAAGATAGAAAGCTGGAACTTGTTACAGATTATATTTTTGGTCAGTTAATTCGACCTACCAAATTTCAAAACGACCGGCTGACTATATCTTATAGTCTTATACTTTTTTTTAGATTTTATATTATAATAAATTGGGTTATATTATCATATTCTCATAAGGATCGGCCAACTATATCCGATGTTTGCGATATATATCCGGATTTAACGGCAAGGGTATATCAACTTCGGCTCCGCCCGAAGTTAGCTTTCCTTTCTGGTTTTAAATACATTTTAACATTATAATTGTGTCAATCAGTGTTTGCTAGTAAAGAACCGTTTCCGATGTACCGTTACTTTTTATATTCTGTTTTGCTATTTCATCCGCTAATTTCTGTGAAATTTTGTGGTTCAACTGAATAGGTTCAGCTGAATGATTTTTAGTTTGCAATTCAACTTGGCGGATTAGTGACACATTTTAGATGCAAATTTTTAACTTCATATATTTTCTTTAAATTAATTGAAAAATGGGACGCGGAGAACAATTATCCGAGTATAAAAAGGCCAAATTGAAGCCTATCGTGAAAGGGGTCTAAGCCATCGCAAATCAAAATGTTGTGAGTATTCTTTTTGAGAAAACAATCAGAATAAGGCAAAAATATCAAAGGCGGAGTCAAACACGCCACCTCTGCGGCACACATGAGGCATATTGTGCGAGCTGCCTCCAGTTCACATCTCTCAGCACCCAAAATTAAGGAAATTTGCGGTTTTAAAGCCAGTTGGTCAACAATTAAAAGAGTGATTTCGTCGGCTGATCATCTAAAACGAATGATGCTTAAAACAAGAAATGAAAGCTAACTTCGGGCGGAGCCGAAGTTGATATACCCTTGCAGTTAAAACCGGATATATATCGCAGATATAGTCGGCCGATCCTTATGAAATTTGGCATGTCATATTATTTTGACAAAAGTAGATTTCATGTAAAATTTGAAATCTCTAACTCTAAAACAGTGGGGGGCCAAACTAACACACGTTTAAAATTTGAGTGTGTGCGTAGCAGAGAAAAACAATGAGAGCAGAGAATTCACTGAGCAAAAAAAAAAACGTATTTTTTTATTTCATTTTTCCTTATTGAAAAGTTTGAATAAGAACTAAAATAGTGTATTTTATGTTAAACACATCTTTTCTAGCAACATTTCTTAAACAGATGAAAAACTACGCTTCCGTATCTTCCCTATTTTCCATGAAGAAAACTTTTTCCAACCCAATTTCTGAACAAAAATTTTCTCAGTGGAAACATTTTGATTTTTAAGTTTCGGCTGTCAAATGGGTCAAAATGAGAGCAAATGAGAGAGCTTCTAAAAAAAATTGAGAATGCTCACACTGTCAGTGTGCCGGAAGTGCTGCGGCAGAATTTCCTACCCTATACACGCGTGCTATGTAAAATGAGAGTTTGCCCACCACTGCTCTAAAAACACCAAAGTTATACCATTTCCGATCAATCAGTTATATGGCAGCTATAGGATATAGTCGGCCGATCCGGGCCGTTCCGACTTATATACTGCGTGCAAAGGAAAGAAGAGTGTGTGCAAAGTTTCAAGACGATAGCTTTAAAACTGAGAGACTAGTTCGCGTAGAAACAGGCAGACGGACATGCTTATATCAAGAGGTGATCCTGGTCAAGATTATATATACTTTATAGGGTCGGAGATGTCTCCCTCATTGTGTTGCACACTTTTGGACAAAATTATAATACCCTCTGCAAGGGTATAAAAATTTGTTTTTAAACTTCGATAATCGATGTTTTTCTTCTAAAACATCGATGTTATTAATGTACATATATTCTACGTATGTATATATGCATATTTATGTCATTTATATTGTTTTTATGTACAGCATATGTGTATATTGTATGTATATGCATGCATACATACATACATAGAAGCCGCATAGAACTCACCCTTTGGTATTTCCGAAATATTTTTTTGTTTATGATCTTGAAAGTTCATATCATCCTCGTAGTGTTCATTTTGAACAAGAATTCCATAACGTTCGAAGGCCATGTTACTAGCGATTTTAGACATATACTTTTAAACTTTGCAGGTCATAAGATAGTAAATTTTCGTATGCACGCAGGCACGTGTTTTACGTGATTATTTTTATTAGTTTATTATCATTACATCAACCCAGCCTAAATTTTGTACACATACTTATGTTCAAATGTATGTTCGTAAGCGCGGAAATATGCACCGATTATTTATTAGGTTATTACTTTCATAAATTTAAGAAAAATATCTAATTTGTGCACATACTTTTTATTGTTATTATATTACAAAAAATAATTTTTACATTAATAAAACGGTTTATTAGACCACTTCCAACACCAAGACTATGTGGTAATATATTCTAGAAAAATATTTTTTTGTTTATCTTTTCAGAATGTTTTACTAATGTGACCAAACAATGAACATGAACTTAACAATACGGATGAGGACTGTCAATATATCGATGCGTAATAAGAGACTATGTGAAACGGTGGATTCTGGGACGGTTAGAAAGACGATCACACGTTCAAGTAACACAGTATATTTAATATTGCATAAATATTATTATTATTATTATTATAATTAGGTTATAATTAAAATTATAAGCTAATTTATGACTAAAGCCATAGCAGCAAGTCCTTCGGCTTACTTATAGTGATAGGAATAATGTGCTTATGTAGATACAAATTAGATATGTTTTTTGTAGAATAGAATATGTAGGTAGAATTTGCTTTTTAATAACGTACAGAGATTAAAATAAAAATTATATGAGGTTATATGTTCTTGGTTGCTTGAGATAATGGATGATTTTATCAAAGGATTTTAGTGTGGGGAAGGATATTGATAATATAAGATCGGCGTTTTGGAAAATATTGTTTCTAATGGATTTTTACACGTCGGTTAGAACGTGTTTTATTGTGTTGTTTATACTGATGCAGAACTGGCAATTTGGTACCGGATTACTGTCAAAAAGATGTGCGTGTGTGAGTCTGGAGTGACCTAGGCGGTTTCTGGTGAATTTTATTATATCGTTTCTGTTGTAGGTGTGTTTTTTGGCATTCAGGTCTATGAAGGTTTTATTTTTGTGTATTTCTTTATACCAAGTTGAAGTTTTTGAAAAGGAATCATGGACAATGTTTTTGGAAGTAAATTTTAGGTATCTACTGATGTCTCGAAAGTTATGGTTTGATGTCATATGGAGGGGTTTAGAACAAGCCGCTTTTGCAGACGTATCTGCGAATTTATTACCTGTAATTTAGACATGTCCAGGTATCCAAATTAACTTTATTTTTGGGTTAAGCATAGTACTGAGTTGACGAAAATCCGCTGTCCAACGAGTGACAGCTGTCAAACTCCATATAAAAAAAAACGGTGTAAAAAAGAAAAGAAGAAGAAATTTTTGCCTTCTAGATTTTGCGGGTACTGAGTTGACGAAAATTTTTGTTATCGATTTTTATCGTGTTGCCGGATCAAAAAAAATAAACAGCTGCTCTCGGGGAGTTAAAATAAATATTTCAAATTATTTTTATAGGTGCGACATGGAGGGTCAATTGACCAAACAAAAAAAAAATTGGGCCCGAAAAATCCATAATCCCCATAATATGGGATTTGACCCACAAGGGGCATTTCAATGCCATTGGTTTAAATAATGCCTGGGAGGCTTTTGCCGCGGAATTACAGAAAGACGGTAAGTAATTAATATTTAATGCAATTGTTACTAAAATCGAAGTCTTTTATAGTGAAAGATTGCAAAGCCTCATGGAAATCGTTGCGGGCCAGCATGCGCTACCACCAGAAGATCTCCAAGGAAAAAAAAGTAAGTGGAAGTGCTGGAGGGAATGTTGTTCCCGGTCCGAAGGCGAATGACGACTATGATTAGGATTTTGCGTCAGAAATGACTTTTTTGCCGGACCTCTCGGACAAAAGGCGGTAAGTTTGGGTCAAGCTTCCAAATTTGTAATAATTTTAAATTCATAAATACACAGAACGATGACGCTACCAAAACCATTAGAGACGTCAATGTCTTCCGAAATTTTCGAGGACACAGATCTAATGTTTGCTGAGTACCTCGACGACAGTCTACCAAGCATCTCATTCGACCAGAGCACGTTGGAGGACCAAGAGCTACAGCTGCAGAAGGGACTAGAGGACATGGAGAAGGAGAGTTCCAGTTCATATTCCTATGTGAGTAGGGAATTCGACTAATTTGAAATTATAATAATTAATTGTAACTATTTTTGATAGAAGCCATCAACTAAGAAGCGCAAGGCTGCGGCGGATGAAAGCTGTGCCCTAACACAGAAATTTACGGAGTACGTTGACTTGCAGAAGTCCATAGTATCGCAGACCAAAAACGTTCCACTGGTGGTCACCTACTGGGGCGAAATAATGAAAGATCTGCCGGAAGAAATGCAAGATGAAGCGGAACTGCATATAACCAAATTTTTGTTGGATTTGAAACAAAAAGCAAAATACCATGAATAAGTTTTTCAATGTATTATCTTATATTATCTTATAAAATCTATATATATAAAAATCAATTGCTGTTCGTTAGTCTCGCTAAAACTCGAGAATGGCTGAACGGATTTATCTTATCTTGGTCTTGAATTATTCGTGGAGGTCTAGGGAAGGTTTAAAAGGTGAGAAAAATTCGAATAATTTCCGGGAAAATCCTCAAAACAGTATTTTTCTATTTCCCATACAAACGTTTTCTAAATAAAATGGAGAGTCAATTTGTAATTTATTACCGCTGTATAAAGTTCAAATTTGCATGCGCGCTGGAGGATCTAATATCGCGTTCCGAAACTCAACAAAAGTGAAAGTGAATCGCGAACGCGACAAAATTGCATAGTCTCACAGCTTCATATAGCTTCGAGAAAATTAATTTTAGCTAACTTCAGTTGTTAATCTGTCCGATTATTTTTTTAATAAGACTATATAGAAATCGAAAGATAAATCTTAAGTTTTGTCACAAACGTTAAATTATAAATCTTAAGTTAAATTTCTGAACGCAATCATATTTGATATTAGATTTGACAACCAACTAATATGTCAATCCATCCTGTCTGTCGCTTTTCAGTCAGAGCACGGAAAAAAGTATTACGATATTATATTGTGTTACGAGTTACGATATCTATGAGTGCATCCTTCTATCTTTGTGGCTACGTGCGCGAGAACTTTCTTTACTTTGGTGATCCTTTGTGATAGTGACATTCCAAGTAATGTGCTCTTTTTTGTGATAGTGACACTTTACTGCTAAATAAGCGGGAAATTTTCTCAATTACAATTTACGATGCCGAGGAGAAGACGACCTAACGTAGGTCGTCGTAGTCAATCAAATGTGCGAAGAGCTACCTCACGTGCTAACCGCACTGATGACCAGAGACAGAGAGATCAAGAAAATAGTCGTATTGCTATGTCAGAATTGCGTTCTTTAGTGAGTGACAATGTAGGAGATAGGCTTAGAATGCAACGAGTTCGTGCACATCAAACACAACAACAGCAAGCTAGACATAATGAAATTGAGCGAATCCGCAGACGCAGTGCTCCTGTGATTTTTGAACGAGCTGCATTCCACTATGATCCGGCAATTGATTATTGTGCCGACAAATCAGTAACAGTTGGGGAAATGAAAACAATTTGTAAATATTGTAAGGCGTTAAAATACACTGGTGAATCTACTGAATTATGTTGTGCTGAAGGCAAAGTAAAATTGCCACAATTGGTCCCACCACCAGATCCTTTACGCTCTTTAGTTTCTGGGATTGGAAATGATTCTAAGCACTTTTTGACCAACATTCAGAAATATAACAACTGTTTCCAGATGACATCATTTGGTGCTACACATATTATACAAGACAATTTCATGCCCACTTTCAAGGTATTATATAAGAATATTTTTATACCCTTGCAGAGGGTATTATAATTTTGTCCAAAAGTGTGCAACGCAGTGAAGGAGACATCTCCGACCCTATAAAGTATATATATTCTTGATCAGGATCACCTCCTGAGTTGATATGAGCATGTCCGTCTGTCCGTCTGTCTGTTTCTACGCAAACTAGTCTCTCAGTTTTAAAGCTATCGACTTGAAACTTTGCAAACATCCTTCTTTCCTTTGCACGCAGTATATAAGTCGAAACGGCCCGGATCGGCCGACTATATCATATAGCGGCCATATAACTGATTGATCGGAAATGGTATAACTTTGGTGTTTTTAGAGTTAGAGAGTTCAAATTTGACATGAGAGCTATTTTTGGCAAAATAATACGACATGCCAAATTTCGTAAGGATCGGCCGACTATATCCTATAGCTGCCATATAACTGAACGATCGGAAATGACCCAACTTTCGTGTTTTTGAAGATAGAAAGCTGGAACTTGGTACAGATTATATTTTTGGTCAGTTAATCCGACCTACCAAATTTCATTAGGATCGGCCGACTATATCCTATAGCTGCCATATAACTGAACGATCGGAAATGGTATTTGGTAGAAATATCAACTTTCGTATTTTTGAAGATAGAAGTTTGGGACTTTTTTTAGATTTTGTATTGTAATAAATTGCATTATATATTCCTATTCCCATAAGGATCGGCCAACTATATCCGATGTTTGCGATATATATCCGGTTTTAACTGCAAGGGTATGTAAACTTCGGCTCCGCCCGAAGTTAGCATTCCTTTCTTGTTTTATATTATTAAAGTTTGTACTAAAATAAATATATATCGGAAATAATTAATAGACAAATTTTTAAAAATTACAGATACAAGGACAAATTTATCACTTACTGGGAACTCTGTTACCACTACCTGATGCAGATCATCAATTTTTACAAATTTATTTTATGGGCAATTCAGATGCGGAAATTAATAATCGTTGTGCTCACAATCCAACAGTGAAGAGAACCATTGTCCAACAATTACAAATGTTTCTTCATCAGAATAACAATTTAGTAAACATGTTCAAAATAGCATTGGATCGGATGCCATCTGATAGCCATAACATTATTATTCGAGCTGACAAAACACCTGCCGGTGAACACACAAGGAGGTTCAATTCACCTACCATTGATGAAGTGGCTGTTGTCATTGTGGGAGAAAATTTACAATCTAGAGATATTGTGCTTCATCGTCGGAATAGTGATTTAAAACGTGTATCTGAAACACACAGGAGTTATGATGCACTACAATATCCTTTGATCTTCTGGCAGGGGGAAGATGGATACCATTTTAATATCAAAATGGTAAATCAAGTAACAGGTAAATGAATTGAACAAGATTAAATAATATTTTTAAATTCAATTCATCGAAGTAACAATTTAAACATTTATCATTTTTGATTGCAGGTGCTGAAACCAACAAAAAAGTTAGTGCTATGAATTTCTATTCATACAGACTCATGATCCGTCAAGGTGAAGTAAATCATATTTTGATGTGTCAACGACTTTTTCATCAGTTTGCAGTTGATATGTATGTCAAAATTGAGACTGAACGATTGACATACATCCGTTTGAACCAACGACGGCTACGGTCAGAGGAATACATTCATCTCCGCGATGCTATAAATGCTGATGGCAATGTGAATAATGTAGGAAGAATGACAATTTTGCCAGCTACTCGATGAGGCAGTACGAAGTCTGCCGGGTCAGCTAGTATCTTAATAAATTTCTGAATTTCTTTTTCTTAATTCTTTAAAATGCCTGCATAATCGTCTTGCCATTGCACAGAACCCATATCCGAATTAACATAATTTTTTATATTATTTAGCACAAATTTCGGACATTCGCGAGGCCGCCCACGGTGTGTATCTGAATCGGTAGTCTCCACAGAAATTACAGGATCACAGACTAACTCGTAGTTATCCCGGTTGGTTCGCATACAATAATTATGCAGCACACAAGCTGCACAAATAATTTTTTGGGCTTTCTCAGGATGGCATAGTAAAGTGCGTTGCACAGCAGCCCACCTCGCACTTAAAATTCCAAAAGCATTTTCAATGCACCGTCGGGCTCGGCTCAAACGGTAATTAAAAATTCTCTCCTCTTTAGTAAGCTTGCGGGAGCCGTATGGCTTCATGATCCGCTTGTGTAGCGGAAAAGCATGGTGTGGAGCATGGTGTCTTCAGGAAACTCCATGCCACCCTCAAGTAGCTCCCTTCCAATCCAAGACTTTGAGAATGCCTTCATGTCTCCTTCGCTTCCATATGCACCAACGTCTATAAACGTAAATCTGCAGGATGCGTCGCTTATAGCTAATAGTATTATTGAATGAAAGCCTTGAAAATCCACAGTTTATTTGTCTCACCTTATAATTATAAAAAACACTACCACAATTAGGTGGAGCTTTTATGGCAACATGCTTGCCATCTATAGCCCCAATACAATTAGGAAATTGCCATAGTCTTTGAAACTCCTGAGCTCTTATTGTCATTGCTTTTACATCCCATGCCTCGATTTCACCAGACAACGCCACCCATATAGCATCGCAAACTTGTGGAATAATAACACCCACATGTTGCTTACTTATGCGGTAGCATGAGGCCACATGACGTTGAAAGGTTCCGCAAGCGAGGTACCTAGAATATGAAATGTTAAATTATGAATACACCGAATCTACCATTCTTACTCAAGGGTAATGGCCAATTTTGCTTCCAGTGGTATTGCATCCAGACGGAAGTTTCTGTTCTGTACCAAATGCGGCCTTACTAAGGTGAACAATTCCTCAAAGTTGCTGACCGACATATGAAAGTTTTCAAAGAATAATTTTGGCGTCTTTACCATATTTTCGAACTGCAAATTATATCAAAGACATGTTTTAATATTAATATTTTTTAAAAACTTGTTTATAGCATAATTAAAATCGAGTACTTACATCCCTTGCAAATCTTTCGTTTAAATTTTTTTGAAGCAAGTAATTGTTTGTTTTGGCGCGACGACCAATTTTCTTTTTCCTAATCACCTCCTTAGCGGCGAGATACATTAACAAAACACCAACATCCAATTGATTTAAATTCATTTTGATGATTGGTTTTTTGTTTACAAACAACAGCTGTTCAGTATTACCTTATTTCTTCATTCTTTTGGTCACACTACCTCGGCAGCCGAATAAAGTGCAAAATCGCTATCAGAATTTCAACAGCGGACTTTCGTCAACTCAATACTATGCTTTATTGTAAAGAGTGTTACGGATATATTTAGCGTAGATGCATTGGGTGTTGGGGTTGGAGATATTTTTCAAAGAAGAAAGTGAGTCAGAGTAGATGGCTATTTTTTTTAAAGAGTTTTTGTGTAGGGTTATGGCTTGGAAAATTGCTATTAACTCAGCTGAGTAGACTGATGTATAGTGTGGTAGAAAACTGCTATTTATACATTTGTTAATTGAGGTGATGCTGAATCTGGTTGTGTTCTCTGTTTTAGAAGCGTCTGTATAAATAAATTCGAAGTCCTTTAGAGTATTTTTAATTTCAGAGAATAGCTTTTGATATATT